CTCTATATATGTACTGTACACTCACATCTCTGCCCACGTGTCACTACCTCCCAAAATACATCTGTCAAGCTACTCCAGTTTGTAGATGACACCACTCCAGCTGTTCTTATCAGTGACAGGGATGAGTCAATCTACAGTGGTTGGCCTGAATCACGGAAAATAACGTGGAAAAATCCAGAATGTGTGCAGACCAAGCCGAAACTGAGCTGTACTTCCTAGCCTCAGCATCTGATGTTAGCACTGCCCATACACTGAGGTGGGAACTGAGCTGCACTTCCTAACCTCAGCATCTGATGTTAGCGCTGCCCATACACTGAAGTGGAAACTGAGCTGCACTTCCTAACCTCAGCATCTGATGTTAGCACTGCCCATACACTGAGGTGGAAACTGAGCTGCACTTCCTAACCTCAGCATCTGATGTTAGCGCTGCCCATACACTGAGGTGGAAACTGAGCTGCACTTCCTAACCTCAGCATCTGATGTTAGCGCTGCCCATAAACTGAAGTGGAAACTGAGCTGCACTTCCTAACCTCAGCATCTGATGTTAGCACTGCCCATAAACTGAAGTGGAAACTGAGCTGCACTTCCTAACCTCAGCATTTGACGTTAGCACTGCCCGTACACTGAAGTGGAAACTGAGCTGCACTTCCTAACCTCACCATCTGATGTTAGCACTGCCCGTACATGTATACCATACCTTATAAACAACATGTAAACCATACATTATAAACAACATGTAAACCATACATTATAAACAACATGTAAACCATAAATTATAAACAACATGTCAATCATATCTTATCAACAACATGTAAACCATACATTATAAACAACATGTTAACCATATCTTATCAACAACATGTAAACAATACCTTATAAACAACATGTCAACCATATCTTATCAACAACATGTAAACAATACCTTATAAACAACATGTAAACCATACCTTATAAACAACATGTAAACCATACATTATAAACAACATGTAAACCATATCTTATAAACAACATGTAAACCATACATTATAAACAACATGTCAACCATATCTTATCAACAACATGTAAACCATACATTATAAACAACATGTAAACAATACCTTATAAACAACATGTAAACCATACCTTATAAACAACACGTAAACAATACCTTATAAACAACATGTATACCATACATTATAAACAACATGTAACCAATACCTTATAAACAACATGTATACCATACCATATAAACAACATTTAAACAATACCTTATAAACAACATGTATACCATACATTATAAACAACATACAACCATGACTTTAAGTATGCTGGGGCAAACTCCTGTGTTAATCCCTACGGTAAATATATTTTTTTAAATATAGATCATGTAAAAACATGACAGCATGGCATCCAAACCCTCGCATTTGTGTGGGGATCGGGTAACCAGATGTATAGCCAACCTGCTATAGCTGCTGGAGTCTGTCACTAACATTATCAGAGTATCTTAGTTTTCACCATTGAGACTGTGCCTCAATCTAGCCTGAGCAAAGTAATACAAGGCATTGTTCACCATAGCAAAGTAATACAAGGCATTGTTCACCATAGCAAAGTAATACAAGGCATTGTTCACCATAGCAAAGTAATACAAGGCATTGTTCACCATAGCAAAGTAATACAAGGCATTGTTCACCAAAGCAAAGTAATACAAGGCATTGTTCACCATAGCAAAGTAATACAAGGCATTGTTCACCATAGCAAAGTAATACAAGGCATTGTTCACCATAGCAAAGTAATACAAGGCATTGTTCACCATAGCAAAGTAATACAAGGCATTGTTCACCATAGCAATCTTCAAATTAAATACATTATGGTCATGGACCAAAAAGTAATTACTCTAATACCCCACTTGTTAAAAGGGGGCTGTTAAATGTTAGGTCACTTGCTTTAAAAGTACAATAAATGAACCAATCACTAGTTCTTCTCTGGCCTAAATGAAGCCACTACTGAATAAGCTTGTGACCAAATCCCTTGTGTCCTCCACAGAGGCGGAGATGTTGCTAATGTTTATCTGTATCTGTACAAGCATGTCAACTGCTGATGCAAAACAAGCTATAGTAGTTTACTACACGTTAACAACACACTCACATTTACAGTTGTAGTTCTCAACCCCCTAATTCAATGGTCATGATGTCACTGTGACACATCAGACATTGTGCTTCTACATCTGAAGGTTATTCCCTGGACTCGTGTGATGAATAAAAATAAAGGGATCCGCTGGCTATGTCTTTAAACGGTTCGAATCCTGCTTGTGTGTTAATGTGTGTTAGCCCTGCAGAGGCTACTGGGATTGTGTGTTAATGTGTGTTAGCCCTGCAGAGGCTAGTGGGATTGTGTGTTAATGTGTGTTAGCCCTGCAGAGGTTAGTGGGATTGTGTGTTAATGTGTGTTAGCCCTGCAGAGGCTAGTGATAATGTGTGTTAATGTGTGTTAGCCCTGCAGAGGCTACTGGGATTGTGTGTTAATGTGTGTTAGCCCTGCAGAGGCTAGTGGGATTGTGTGTTAATGTGTGTTAGCCCTGCAGAGGCTAGTGATAATGTGTGTTAATGTGTGTTAGCCCTGGAGAGGCTAGTGGGATTGTGTGTTAATGTGTGTTAGCCCTGCAGAGGCTAGTGGGATTGTGTGTTAATGTGTGTTAGCCCTGCAGAGGCTAGTGATAATGTGTGTTAATGTGTGTTAGCCCTGCAGAGGCTAGTGGGATTGTGTGTTAATGTGTGTTAGCCCTGCAGAGGCTAGTGGGATTGTGTGTTAATGTGTGTTAGCCCTGCAGAGGCTAGTGGGATTGTGTGTTAATGTGTGTTAGCCCTGCAGAGGCTAGTGGGATTGTGTGTTAATGTGTGTTAGCCCTGCAGAGGCTTGTGGGATTGTGTGTTAATGTGTGTTAGCCCTGCAGAGGCTTGTGGGATTGTGTGTTAATGTGTGTTAGCCCTGCAGAGGCTAGTGGGATTGTGTGTTAATGTGTGTTAGCCCTGCAGAGGCTTGTGGGATTGTGTGTTAATGTGTGTTAGCCCTGCAGAGGCTTGTGGGATTGTTTGAGGTGACGAAGCAGGTCCTCAATCACAAAATTGGTCCACGGTTGAAAAGGCTTTGTTCCTGGGAGGGGTTTTATTTCTAAGCTTAGTAGATGGATCTCTGGCTGAGCTGAAGCCAAGAAAACTCAAGCCTTTCTTATAGTTGGAATAAAGCCTTTAAACAAACTCCTTCCTTTTCAGTCAGTCTAGATGCTCGCACACGCACCGCACCCACACACACACACACACACAAAAATACACACACACCTTCTACTGCACCAAACTCCTGTAGTTACCTCAACATATCCTCTGGCAGCATGGTTCAGGATCTCAAGAGAAACATCCCTAAACCTACTTCTGGTCTGGTTTTAAGAACTTTAAAGAAAAAAAGAGAGAAAAGGGATGACAGAAGGCATAGAAGATGAGGGTAAAGGGGTTGAGAGAGTGAGGGGGGTGATAGAGGAGGGAGTTGAGACACAGCTCCAGGGCCTAGAACCAAATGGAAGCCCTGAGGTTCTGGGTTGGTAGAGGCTCCCACAGAAACATGGGAGTAGGAGGGCATGTATGGCTGTAAGCAGATGACAATATCCCTCCTCCTGTTGGCTGTCGTTATTGTCTGTGAGAGATAGAAGGACCAGTTGTTTTGTTTGTCATTATCAGTGACAGAGGAACCAGTTCTGTTGGCTGTCGTTATTGTCTGTGAGAGATAGAAGAACCAGTTGTTTTGTTTGTCATTATGAGTGAAAGAGGAACCAGTTCTGTTGGCTGTCTGTTAGAGATAGAAGGACCAGTTGTTTTGTTTGTCATTATCAGTGACAGAGGAACCAGTTCTGTTGGCTGTCGTTATTGTCTGTGAGAGATAGAAGAACCAGTTGTTTTGTTTGTCATTATGAGTGACAGAGGAACCAGTTCTGTTGGCTGTCGTTATTGTCTGTGAGAGATAGAAGGACCAGTTGTTTTGTTTGTCATTATGAGTGAAAGAGGAACCAGTTCTGTTGGCTGTCGTTATTGTCTGTGAGAGATAGAAGAACCAGTTGTTTTCCATTATCAGTGACAGAGGAACCAGTTATGTTGGCTGTCATTATTGTCTGTGCAAATAGAGGAAGCATTTGTCTGTCATCAAGCTCTAAGCAGAGGAGAACCAGTTATTCTGGAAGCAGTATTCTCTGTGAGAGACAGAGGAACCCCTTTTTATTGCAGTCAAGAACTGCATGTTGTCATAACAATCTGTGACTGATGGAGGAATCAGTTGCTTAGCTTTATTTGGTTTAGCTTTATTTTATTCATCTTGGAAGCAGAAGCAGAAAAAGCAAACCAGCATGCAAATAATGATTAGACATGATCTGTAGAAGGTCATTTTGCATTCTAGGGCTCATATGCATAATTACTTATTATATAGGGCTCATATGCATTATTACTTATTATATAGGGCTCATATGCATTCTCACTTATTATATAGGGCTCATATGCATTCTCACTTATTATATAGGGCTCATATGCATTATTACTTATTATATAGGGCTCATATGCATTCTTACTTATTATATAGGGCTCATATGCATTATCACTTATTATATAGGGCTCATATGCATTCTCACTTATTATATAGGGCTCATATGCATTATTACTTATTATATAGGGCTCATATGCATACTTACTTATTATATAGGGCTCATATGCATTATTACTTATTATATAGGGCTCATATGCATTCTTACTTATTATATAGGGCTCATATGCAGTCTCACTTATTATATAAGGCGCATATGCATTCTTACTTATTATATAGGGCTCATATGCAGTCTCACTTATTATATAAGGCGCATATGCATTCTTACTTATTATATAGGGCTCATATGCATTCTCACTTATTATATAGGACTCATATGCATTCTCACTTATTATATGAGGCCGATTGAGAACAAACTAACAGAAATATGCAACTGCGACCTGGGGAGAAGCTGGGGATGGAACCCAGGACATCACACAAAGCATGCACTCTACCAGTGAGCTACACCAACATGCACTCTACCAGTGAGCTACACCAACATGCACTCTACCAGTGAGCTACACCAACATGCACTCTACCAGTGAGCTACACCAACATGCACTCTACCAGTGAGCTACACCAACATGCACTCTACCAGTGAGCTACACCAACATGCACTCTACCAGTGAGCTACACCAACATGCACTCTACCAGTGAGCTACACCAACATGCACTCTACCAGTGAGCTACACCAACATGCACTCTACCAGTGAGCTACACCAACATGCACTCTACCAGTGAGCTACACCAACATGCACTCTACCAGTGAGCTACACCAACATGCACTCTACCAGTGAGCTACACCAACATGCACTCTACCAGTGAGCTACACATGCACTCTACCAGTGAGCTACACCAACATGCACTCTACCAGTGAGCTACACCAACATGCACTCTACCAGTGAGCTACACCAACATGCACTCTACCAGTGAGCTACACCAACATGCACTCTACCAGTGAGCTACACCAACATGCACTCTACCAGTGAGCTACACCAACATGCACTCTACCAGTGAGCTACACCAACATGCACTCTACCAGTGAGCTACACCAACATGCACTCTACCAGTGAGCTACACCAACATGCACTCTACCAGTGAGCTACACCAACATGCACTCTACCAGTGAGCTACACCAACATGCACTCTACCAGTGAGCTACACCAACATGCACTCTACCAGTGAGCTACACCAACATGCACTCTACCAGTGAGCTACACCACTCTACATGCACTCTACCACTGAGCTACACCAACATGCACTCTACCAGTGAGCTACACCAACATGCACTCTACCAGTGAGCTACACCAACATGCACTCTACCAGTGAGCTACACCAACATGCACTCTACCAGTGAGCTACACCAACATGCACTCTACCAGTGAGCTACACCAACATGCACTCTACCACTGAGATACACCAACATGTACTCTACCACTGAGCTACACCAACATGCACTCTACAACTGAGCTATCTCTATCTATGCAGTATGAAGTTTATCTCTTTTGAGTAGGATTCTTAATCTGGGACTTTCTTGCAAAAGGTAATGTGGTGTTTCTGCAGGTGAGAACCAATGTGTCATATCGAACCTCCGGGAACTTTAACCTGAGTAGATATCTCCTGCTGTTGTTAGAATATGAGGGTGCAGGAGCTGCTAAACTACACTGTCCCAACACCAATTTCACTCCATCTATACTTGAGAGAGAAATTATTCATCTATCTGCTTTTTTCAATTGATGTGCATTTTTCCAGGTGCAGGAATGGTAACTGAACGTATTTTTCAGTCCTCATAATGAAACTCACATTTACACACACACAAACACACACACCCACATCACAGCAATGTGAAGAGGTGATAAACAGTATGTCTCCTTTTCGTCTTCATAATTAATTCACACACGTTTAATACTGACAGCTTTTGAATGCATCCAAACCTCCTTTGCACATTACAAAAGTGTTGGAATAACAGTTAACCGGTGTGTGAGAGGTGAAAGGCCAGCCATATGATCAGCTGATGCTGTGTCATCCACTTCTGAAATGGCCAATTATGATGGTCTGGTGGAGGGTGGGTGAAGGGTAGATGGGTGGTGGTCTGGTGGAGGGGGGGTGAAGGGTAGATGGGTGGTGGTCTGGTGGAGGGTGGGTGGAGGGTAGATGGGTGGTGGTCTGGTGGGGGGTGGTGGTTGTGAGGGCATGGAGTTAAGTGTGGTAGACTAAGGCTCTGTATTGGAGTTAAGTGTGGTAGACTAAGGCTCTGTATTGGAGTTAAGTGTGGTAGACTAAGGCTCTGTATTGAGGTTAAGTGTGGTAGACTAAGGCTCTGTATTGAGGTTAAGTGTGGTAGACTAAGGCTCTGTATTGAGGTTAAGTGTGGTAGACTAAGGCTCTGTATTGGAGTTAAGTGTGGTAGACTAAGGCTCTGTATTGGAGTTAAGTGTGGTAGACTAAGGCTCTGTATTGGAGTTAAGTGTGGTAGACTAAGGCTCTGTATTGGAGTTAAGTGTGGTAGACTAAGGCTCTGTATTGAAAGCATTATATAGCAGTATACTTAGCAGCCCACATCAGAACAGTTTGTGAGTCACATAAGAGCAGCCTTAAGAAGCTGTAGAGTTAAGCTCTGCATCACAGCTACCAGCCCACACTGCAGGGAGATTCTCGTGAAACCTGTCTGGAACCAAAAGCAACAGACCTCCTGTATCAGAAACCTGTATCAGCAATATAAACCTACAAGACCAAAAGACCTCCTGTGTCAGCAATATAAACAGAGACCAAAAGACCTCCTGTATCAGCAATATAAACCTACCAGACCAACAGACCTCCTGTATCACCAACCATTTAATAAGTGGGGCTTGGCTCAGTAAGGGACACATACACACACCATTTAATAAGTGAGGATGGGTTAGCTGGCATGGTTAAAGTTAAAGAGAGTAAGCAGATGGCTGAAACTCACTACTGCATGTAAAATAGATCTGGCATCTCGTCATAATCTGGCATCTCTCATTTGGCGAGCACACACACAGACACACACGCACTTTAATTAATTCATTTAGATCCACAAATCAAACATAAATTTTAATGACAGGTCCATGAATCAAAGGTATCTGAATGTATGGACACTCCAGGCTAAAGATAGCAGTCAGCACTACAGCGTTTCTCCTTAGTCTTTGGCAGGCCAACAGATTAGATCTGCAATAAAATGACACACTGTGTCTTTTTAGTCACTATTTGACTAGGTGTAGAGATAAATAAATGCATGGTTTAAACACATCTGGTTCATCTTGAAAGGTGTTAGATCCACACCACTGCACACGCCAAACACACCCCACAGGTGGCAAATTAATTGAATATGTCCGCTGTCAATATGTCACTAAGGCAACACAGAACACAATTGCACCTTTGTAAACGCGTCGGTTGCACTCCCTAACCCCTCCTCCCTCCTCCCCGTCAACCATCCACAAGGAGCGACGGTTATTCAGGCTGAGAGGAACAGGATCAAGCTGCTCTGACCGACTAACTGAAGCTCTGTTCTACTGTATCGACAATCAAACAGGAGTTCAATAACAAATCAGTCTTCTACTGCTCTGCCCAAAACCACATGTTCCAATGGTGTCTGACCACAGGCCAATTCAATACTAAACAGTTATACAATTGATGCATCTGTCCATGCTCGTAGTTATTACACAATTACATCATGCATTCACTTGATTCCGTTGACACTATTTTTAAAAGGTCAAAGCATCATCATCATCACCACTCTCTAATACAACCCAAACCCTTACCAGTATATCAGCTTGTTATTATGAAGGATCGCAGGAGTCTTGTCCGAGGCGCAGTTGATGCACCACATTGTCGCTAACTATCCGGTCTGGGTGCGTTAACCCGTTATTCCGGTCCGGGTGCGTTAAACCGTTATTCCGGTCCGGGTGCGTTAAACCGTTATTCCGGTCCGGGTGCGTTAAACCGTTATTCCAGTCCGGGTGCGTTAACCCGTTATTCCGGTCCGGGTGCGTTAAACCGTTATTCCGGTCTGGGTGCGTTAACCCGTTATTCCGGTCCGGGTGCGTTAAACCGTTATTCCGGTCCGGGTGCGTTAAACCGTTATTCCAGTTGAACGTTAATTAGTCTCGAGCCGCTAGAGGAACGGCGCGCGCCAGCTGGGATCATGCAGATATGCATGCTTCTGTTCCGGTAGAGAGAGAGACGCTCCGCTCACTCGGGTGTAGACCAGCAACGTCGAGGGTCGTCCTTGACTCGACACCTTCATCGTCCCCTAACTACAGACACTCCATCGTGCACTCCCTCTCTCCTTCTGTCCCTGACGTTACTTTGAATCTCCGGTCTACGCGGCAGTTTGTGTATCCGGGCGCGGCGCGCAGTCTGCGGGAGAGGAGCGGAGCAGAGAGGAGCGGCGTGACACAGCATTCACAACAACAACAACACAGCCTCCACTACGCTGATAGTCTCATTTGATTAACCATCTCCACTACCTTGGATAGTCTCATTTGATTAACCATCTCCACTACCTTGGATAGTCTCATTTGATTAACCATCTCCACTACCTTGTATAGTCTTTGATTAATCATTTGATTAACCATCTCCACTACCGTGTATAGACTCATTTGATTAACCATCTCCACTACCTTGGATAGTCTCATTTGATTAACCTTCTCCACTACAAATACGTGTATATGTTGTGTATATATTAAATAAAATATAAAATAAGATAAACAAATACGTGTATATGTTGTGTATATATTAAATAACATATTAAATAAGATAAACAAATACGTGTATATGTTGTGTATATATTAAATAACATATTAAATAAGATAAACACATACGTGTATATATATATATATGTGAACGGTAGTCAGCACTAATCATCTAATGTGATTTTTTTCACATCCACATTTAAATCTATTTCATCACAGCCTATACGCTGTCCTGATACCACATTGATATCAGTACCAGAGAGCATTAGGCTTTTATTATGGCGCTTTTCCACTACAAAGAACCAGCTCGACTCGACTTGGCCCGACTCGGCTCCGCTCGCTTTCGCTCGGTTCTCCATTGCAGATAGTACCTGCGCAATAGTACCCAGGAAACTGCTGTGACGTAATCTTCTACGCGACGCGGCAACACACACACACACACACACACACATAAGACAATGGAGGAAATCGAGTGTATGCTGTGTTTGATCCGCGAGATGTGGCTGTTTCTCACGGCGTATTCTTTCGGTTTGCCATAGTAATCGTAATGGATAATCTGTACAGCTCTCACGCAATCTCTGGCCAAACTATTTAAAAATGGTGGGATTACTCAGGATACTACATCTGGCGCGTGCAATGATGATGCAGTGAATAGTGACGATTCTCTGACCAATCAGCAGTCTGCCTTGTTTTCACGTCACATTTTAGTATCGCCTCAGCTCGCTCAGAACCTCGCCTGAGGTGGTACGATAAAAAGTAG